TGCATTTAGAGCAAACAGATTTATTCTTTTTTTAGAGAGAGAAGAGATTTTTAATATTTATTTTTTAGTTATCGGCGGACACAAAATTTTTGGCTGTATGTGGTGCTGAGGATCGAACCCCGGCCCCACGCATGCCTGGCGAGCGCGCTACCTCTTGAGCCACATCCCCAGCCCTAAAAACTGCCACAATTCAAAGTTTCTGAACTGTAAAGCTTTATATAAAATCTCATGAAAAATGTATTGACTGTGGGGTGGCTCAGTGGAGCACATGTCTATCATGCACGAGGCCCTGGGTTCCATCCCCAGCTCTGCGAAAAGAAAAATAAAACTATAAGATACCAGATGTGGTTGTGCATGCCTGTAATCCCAGTGATTCGGGAAGGTGAGGCTAGAGTATTGCAAGTTCAAAGCCAGCCTCAGCAATTTAGCAAGGCCCTAAGCAACCTAGCGAGACCCTGCCTCAAAATAAAAAATAAAAAGGGCTGGGGATGTGGCTCAGTGGTTATGCACCCTTGGGTTCAATCTCCAGTACCCATGCCCTCTTCCCCCGAAAAGAGCGACTTCCTTAGTAGCAGTCTGGAACAAAATCTGGCTCCTGAATCCACTGTTCTGATGAACTGCGCAACGTCACGCTGGGCCTGCTGCAAGTGGGTTTGGAACGCAGCCATATGGGCCTTTGCACCAAGAGTTTCCATATGGCTAATATGCATTTTTCATTAGCCAGGAAAAAGACTGAAATGGTCAGGGACTCTGAAAGTTACTCTCTTCAGTGAAGGCCTGCTCAACCCACATCAGAAATTAGGTATGTTTTTTGTGAGCTGGATATTAATCAGATTTGACAGAGGTGAAGGAAAAAGGTATTTAAGGAGGAGAAAATGCACCGAACTTTTGGACTCCCTTACAGAACAAGAATCAGAACCTATTTTTGCTGCATCTTAGGTTAGCAGATTGGGGTAAGAGTAGTATGGAAAATATTGCAAAGGATCTTATTTGGATCTTAATGAAGAACTTGAAGGGGAAAAAAAGGTTTTATTTGGTAGATTTGGGGATGTTTTACAAGGGATACTGACAAATTATATCTGAGGCTTGGCAAGATACATTGGATTGCAAGGAACAGAATGTGGTAGAAGGAATGATGTGTAGAGGAAAGGAGATCAGTGGGGAAGTTATTCTGATATCTTAGAAGTAAAGGGCATATGTTGAGCAACGGAAGTGAAGATGAGGTGATGGGATCAAGAAATACCGTGGAGGTAAGCTAAGTAAGACTTGCTAACGTAATAGGAAAAGATTACACCTGTAATTCCAGTGACTCAAGAGGGTGAGGCAGGAAGATCACAAGTTCAAAGCCAGCCTCAGCAATTTAATAAAGCCCTAAGCAACTTAGTGTGACCCTGTCTCAAAATAAAAATAAAAAGGGCTGGGGATGTGGCTCAGTGGTAAAGCAACCCCAGCTTAAATCCCCAGTACCAAAAAGAAAAAAAAAATTTGGGCAACAGCAATAAAGTACTTTCATATGGAGCACGGAATTAGAGCTGGCATACTGCTATAATCCTAGGGCTAGGACAATGATCTGAAAAAGTAGCTTCTGACCTTTCACTTGGCCTGTGACTTATTTTAATAATGCTTACCTAGGGAGATATAGCCTTACAGCCTGGACCAAAACTGAGCTGCTACTGCTGCTACTGGGGGATCCAGGTCCTAGGGAGGCAAGTGTGAAAAACCTAGACTGAGAAGGATACATAAAATATGATAGCCAGGTATGGTGTTGCACCTGCAATCCCAGAGGCTTGGGAACCTGAGGCGGGAGGCTTGAAAGTTCAAAGCCAGCCTCAGCAATTTAGTGAGATGCTGTCTCAAAATTAAAAATGAAAAGGCTGGGGATATGATTCAGTGGTATAAAGGAGTCTGCCAAGGAGCCTGACAAATGCTTAAGAGAAGATAGGCCAGCAAATGGGGTGTGTCACATTAGTTACCATAAGAGTGGTTCAAGGAATTGTCCAGTTTTAAACAGTGCTGAGAAGTCAACTATGGACTAGGAGATTATAGTTGGCCAGTGTTCTTGGTGCAGCTATTTCAGGGGAGACATGGGGCAGAAGTCAAACTGCAGAAAGATGAAGAGAGTGACTCAGCACATAGAAACAACTTTTAGACTTATTCAAGGAGAAATGTAAGGCTTAGGATAGAGAATTAAGGGACAATACAATATTAGTCATCAAGTATCAGCACATTAAATAGCACCAAGGAGGAGCTAATGGGAGGAAGAGGTTGAAAATATGGACAATCAATGGAGCCTTAAACAGCCAAAAGAGGATTGGATGCTAGGGTGTATGTCTGTAATCCCAGTGAAGCTGAAGGCTGAAGCAGGAGGATCACAAGTTCAAGACCAGCCTGGGCAATTTAGCAAAACCTTGTCTCAAAATCAAAAGGGCTGGGGATATTAACTCGGTGGAAAAAGTGCCCCTGGGTTTAATCCCTGGTACAGGAGGAAAAGAAAAAAGGGAGAGAGAGAGAGAGAGAGACCTGTCACTTAATAAGGAAAAAAAAAAAGTCAGCATTTGTATCTGCCTTTCCTTACAATCGTCAAGACAAAGAGGTGCCAGAAAGGAAACCAGACCATACAGCAAGGATAGATTTACCAAAAGATAAAGTCTTTAGCCAAATAAAGATAAAAACTCCACACCGGTTTCCTTCTAGGAGCAAACAGGACTAAGGGACTGCCCAAGGAAAACTCGAGGAGCGTGCTGGGGAGAGGCCTGCCCAACTCCGGCGCTCCCTGCGCCCGAAACAGAGTCTACAGGGGCCCGAGGTGCTGTCCCCCAGCCTGAAGCCACTGACCGACTTGACAGCCGCCTCCTGTTCGTCCACCGCCAGGGCCCACGAGTCGGTGGCCATGGTCCTGTTAATGGTAGGGTAACTCGCGAAAACCTGCACAACACAGCGCGCCAATATCAGTCCCCGGCCCGCAACTGGCGCAAGATGCCACTCACGCGGACCGGAAGTGGCGGAGCGCGGACTCACTGACGTCAGTTCCTTCGCGGCCGCAGACGTCACCCTTTAGCGCCAGGCCTTCATCTGTAAGCCGACCCAGGTGTTGTTTCGATTTTCTCAGGTGCGTCTTCGCTTGCGTTAAAATTCTTGAGCGCGACAAAGTGAAAAACAGCCCTCCCTTCATTATTGCCTTACTTCACACGGAAATAGCTCAAAATTTATTTTAAAGAGAATTTTTTTAATAGTTTTTTTTTTTTTTTTTTTTTT